CAAGGCGGGAACCGTTGGTGGGGTCCAGTGTCTTTCCTGACTGAATCCAACCCAACTTTGTATTACGAGCAATCGTCCCTGCCGAGCTCCTCAATAAACCATAACTACATACTTCGTATGCAGTTTGTTCCCTTCACTGAGTCCTGTGACTTCGCCGTTTGTTTTAATTTTCTTTAGGCCTGATGATTTAACAACGTCCTCGGTAACAAAAGAGGCCTGTGAGCCCTGGTCAATTAGTGCACGGTAGACTTGTGTATAGCCGCGCTTCTGAAAGACATCTACCAGTGCCGTAGCGAGCAAAATTTGGCCAGGTTGTTTTAAAAAATGTGTAATAATGTTTTCGCTTTCTTGGGTGTGTATTTCTTCTCCGGGTTGTTCTTTTGTTGTTTCCTTTTTCCTGGGATGTAAAAGAGAATGATGTTTTCCTTTGCAAAGATTACATCTTGTGCTTTTCAAACATTTTTGTACAGAATAATAGGAAATGAAACAGTTGAAACATAAATTGTTTTGCTTTTACAAAATCTGTTCTTTGTTCTAGGCTTAGTCTAACAAACTGTTTGCGTTGGAAAATGTAGTGGTCACCGTCATAAAATGTGCATGGAACTGACGACGCTGTTGATACCGACGAGTGAAATGTTTTAGTTTTACTCGTACCTTGCTTTGAATAATCTTCCTCCATTTCCAACGACTTAAATCTCATTTCAAGAAATCGATGTAACTGTTGGAAGGTCGGCATGTTTTCGCTATCAACAGATATTTGTTGCTCCCAAATCGATGACTGACCGGATCTAACTTTGAAACAGTAAGATAAACTATTATGTCATCCCATGCACCTGTGTTGATTCCTATGTTTTTAAAACTATTGAGGCAATCCAAAGTAATATACAGCAATTGTTTTAATAAATGAGCCGATTCCTGAGTTATTGTTTTCAAGCTAAACATTTTTTTGAAAATACTATTAGCAATGTATCTCTTGTTGTCAAATCTATTATATAATGTTTCCCAGGCTTTCATGTAATTGTCATTTGTTATTGTAAAATTGCGCAATAATTGTTCTGCTTCCCCCGCTACAAATGACTGTAAATATGGTAATTTCTAACATCGTATTTTTTTGTTCGATCGATGTAAACAAACCTCTAAACGATGGCCAGTCCGTATAACTACCCGCAAATGTGGGTATTTGTATCGTAGGCAACTTTATTTCTGTACTTGTACTAGTTCTCGGGCTAAGTGCATTACTTGTTTTCATTTCTTCATTTAACTCCATTTACCTATGCTTTAATGAAGTTTTATAAATCGTGTAAAGTGTGAATTGGATGAATTCATTAAATTTATCTAGACTAAAATAATCGACAGAATTTCTTTGTCCTCGAAGAATCAAGGCCGATATTTCTTCGTGTCCCTTCATGACCGAACTATGTAACGTTCCAATGTTTCGAGACGAGTTTCAACGTAACTTTTGTTATTCGAGACTTGGGTGTTTTTAAATAATTATTTTGTGCCTTGTGTATTTGTTCAATTCTGTCCTCTTGTAGACTAATTAAAATGTTAGCTTGTTCCATTTTTATAATATAAATTCAAACACTTAACAAATCAAACAGAATAACTAATGAGAACTATTAAAACTAAGAGGGTATGTAACAATATAATTGAACTGATAAACTGTGCTGTTTACGAAACAGCTCACAGTCGACATGACACAACCTAACTAAACTCAAACTTGTATGAATTCAAACAAATCTCAAATAACAAAGTCAAGTTTGTTTTTAATATTTGAAATTAAAACAATTTTAAATATTAAACAGACTTCAAACCCGGACTAAATATGTTTAAAGTTTATTAAAAAACTTCAAAGACCCAATTTTATCAAGTCGAATATTTAAGGCCAACGTAATACACTAAAGACCGAAATATCCGGCAAACGAAGGACCATGTTTTGTTTCCTACGAAACTTGGGTTCCGAATTTGAACCACAAGACTTGACCAAACAACCAGAAACAAAAGAGCAAACGATTTCTACAGAACACAACGACAATCACCATAAAACGCAAGAAACAACCACCAAATCACCGAAGAGCCCGCGACTAGCGGGCGACTAGATCTGTGGCGAGACGTTCACAATATCGCGTTTCAATGTACGACGGTCTCGTCACAGCGCCATCTATTAAGGCGGAGTGAAAACGACGCCAACAATGATAATGATGCAAGATTTTGTTCCTGGCGAATTTCTCTAGAATTTGAGTAACACGCCATCTATTAACTGTCCGAAAAATCCATATATTATTGTATTGTATAGAATTGTTTCCTTTTTTATTTCACAGATGGCGCTGTTATCATGAATAAATTTGTAGATTATGCTCATATTTGATATCTGAATTATAAACAAATTTATTTAATTTATTATTTATCAACTAGCTTCCGCATTTGTTTTTTCTGAGTATTTTGTGGGATCTTACTTCTTTTTGTAGATATCGTATTTTAATTTTCGTCGTTATCAATGAGAAGTTCTACATTAGTACTAGTATTTCTCTGCAATATTATATATTTTTTTGTAAAACGTTCAAGTGTAACTCCAGTATTTTTTTATTACTGACTTCAAAAATGGGGAGAGTTTGAAAACAAACCTTCGACCTGCTTGCTTTTTGTAATTGATAGATAGGCCAAGACATTTGTGTTGCACTATATACTAGTTGTCGCCCGCCGCTAACTGCGTGCAGAATTAAAAAAAAATGCAATTATAATACACAACTTCTGTTTTGGAAGATTTCATGGTAAAATAAATACATTTTGTGTCGTTATTGTTATTTTTTTATTTATTCAAATTAAACATGACATGGCATCAAAGTACCAATGAGATATCAATAATGGAAGAGATGTTCAGCGTATGAGATGTCCTCGTGGTCGATGGCGCGGCTGCAATCGCGCTCGTCTCCGCCGACGATGCAGTTCGCGGGACGCAGAACGCGCGGTGGGCGCGGCGGAGGCGCCGCCAGCCGCTGCCGCAGCTTCAGCGCCACTCGTCGGCTCAGGTCGGGAGAGATCCAAGAGAATAGTCTGATAATACGTCTCTGTAGGAACGGCGGTGCGGTAAGAAGAGAGAAGTCGACGGTGTTATTCGCTAGTCTGTCCCTTTCATCGTCCGTTTGCAATATGTGGTTATAAAAATAAGCAGGGTCTTCTAGATCCACGGCGTTGCTCTCGTAGACCATTATTTGCTCTTTAGGACGGGAGGCATCGACGTAGGGCACCGGGCCACTGAAAGAATTCGGATAATAGTTCGGGGCGTCTTTCATATTGTCTCTCTCCGGAGGGTCTCCGTCGCGATTATAATTTTTCTCATAAAGAGGTCTGTTGATTTCAATCTTATTATGGTTACTTCCTAAGCGATGATTTTGTGTCGCGGGATAGGCGAGACTTCGCCCCCTGAACAGTAGGTCCTTGGGTCCGGCTATTCCGGGCACCAGGTTAGCGGGATTGAAGGCCAGCTGGTCGGCGACCCGATGCGAGTTGTCGGGGTTCTTATCGAGCACTAGCCTGCCGACGGTCACGGTGCGGTATGTTCCTTTTTTCCAGAGTCTTGTTACATCGAACGGATTAAAATCTAATTGTAGCAAATCGTCGAAAGTCAGAACATCCATATCCAATCTCCATGAAGGGTACCTCTTCTCGGCTATGGCATTGTACAAGTCTTTCACAAAGTAATCTGGATCCAGGCCATTTAGTCGCGTCGCCTCGTCCGACGGTAAATTCTCTATGCCCTGCAAAGTTCTGAAATTAAATTTTACGAAATACTTTTCACCATGGGCGTTGTATATCTCGAAGGTATGTATAGGAAATACGTCCATCTTTCGGAAGCCATTGGGGATGCCGCTGTCGGACAGCAGGCGCAGAAAGGCGTTGATGGCGTCGAAACGCAGCGTGAACACGTCGCCGCGCATTGTACGGTCAAAGAGGTCAGTGCGTGGGTTACGGCGCGTGCCGTGCACCACGCTGAAGAAGTACTCGGGGTCCTTGTAGAAGTAGACGGGCGCGTTCAGACATAGGAGGTCAAGGTTGCCCTCCTTCGAGTAGAACTTGACCGCCATGCCCTTGGGCTCGCGGCCCGCATCGACGCCGCCGCGGTTCTGCACAGTGGTGGAGAAGCGCACGGAGACGGGCGTGCGCTTGCCGACGCCAGTGAACACCTCGGCCTTGGTGTATTGCGACACGTCGTGCGTCACCTCGAAGTAGCCCTGCGCCGCGGTGCCCTTACCGGCCGCAACTCTTTCAGGTATTCTTTCGGAGACGAAATGCAAAATGTTGTCAAGAAAGAACCGATTCATCAGTAAGTCACTATTCAATGCATTGGTTTCCCTTATCTCGACTGGATATCCGGAGCTGAGAGTGAATAATCCGATCGGTTTCTGCAAAAAGAAGTATAATAATAATTGTGATAGTGAAAAAAGAAACGTTTGAATAGAGGGTGTTGAGCATAATTGTATTTTTTCAGATATGTTTAAAAAAAATTGACAGAAAACGTGGTTGTTATCTAACTTTCGTTACATGTTTAAAGGTTAAATAAATAGATTACTCAAGCATGCTTTTACAGAAGTCAGTGTAGTGGAATGACAAGAGAATGTGCCTACTGGGTGAGTTTTTCTGAAGTCGTAGAGCTGTCGCGAAGCGGGGTCAGTTCTATTCTCGTAGGCGCGGGAGAGGAAGTCCTCGCCGAGCGCGGCAGCGAGCCCGCTCAGCCAGCACACCACGTACGCTAGGGCCTGCATCGCGGCCGCTCGCAGACACATTGCCCGCGCACGCCGCTCGCCGCGTTTATAACCGCTCGTGCCCTCGATAATTGAATGCGAAATTTATCTAAGTAATTATAAAATTATATGATTATCAAATAATTATTACACATTGAAATTTAAACACTGTTCTCTTAAAAGAGCTATAAATATGTTTTATTGTCGACATTTCCAGTTTAATTTCACACCCCTGCCTTCCTCGTGAGCTGAGCTCGAGCCGTAATTGATTATTAAAAATTAAAATAATATCAACAAGTTTGCTAATTTTTTCTTACGCTACTTTTTTGACCTCATTTGAGTGAAAATTCCAAGCACGTGTTAGCTAAGCTAGTAATGAAATAATTATTAAAATCGTCAGAATTCACTGGTATTTGTTCAATTTAGTCCTTAGTTCCATTGCCGCGGCCAACCAGCCGGCCTCTTCCCCCCCCCCCGCTATTGCCAATTGCAGTCATTATTTCGGCCGTAATTAAAATCCTTCTAATGATACCTCATTATATATTGTTTGTTAGTGGTTATTATTTAAGAAGTTTTTTATTAATTGCAGTTAATTAGATTAGAAAACCGACGCTGTTTGGAGGAAGATGTTATAATAACCTCGAGCCGTATTTAGCTGCACGCAGCATACTGACATGAAATAAATGACTTACAATTCACGCGTGTCACTCAATGTCCATTTGAATGTGCTACTGAGTGGATGGATCTTATCTGAACAAAATCTTGATAACCAGTACAGCACACACAGTATTGTGTTGTGTGGATATGTAAACTATTTTAAGTAAATATTTAAAAAAAAAGTCGGTAATAAATCATCAAAGGCAGCAAAATCATGAAGAACCATGCTTGTAGTAAAATAAAAAAAGTGTTTATAAATCGTATTTTACTACGAATCTCGTGAAATAAGTAAAGTAATTTTGAATACGGTTTACGACTTTGTGTAGTGAAATAGTATGTTTATTCGATGAGAGTTTGTACACTGCATATTAAGAGATTATCGCCGTGCGAAGAGACCTCTACACATTACTAGGAGGGTTCTGTGATGGCCGACCGTTGCCCGCCGCCGGAATGTCCCGGCCCTTTACTTAATTAATAATGTGCTAAACAGGAGGCCTGTGTAAAGTAATCGTAAAGGTAAAGGTAAAGCCTTGACGTTAAGTATATTTTGTGTATATTCGTTATTCGCTAACTCAAGCCAGAGCCCATTGGCATCGAGTTATATATGCGTTGTGTCTAAAAGATTGTCATTATCATCTATTATTGTTGAGAATTAAAGGATTTATTCCATGTTAGTTGTCTTTTTATTCATCTTCCTGACTTAACAACAACACGTTCCCATGGTAACCGCTTACAGTTTTTATATCAAAAAGTATCAAAACTATATAACATGTCACAAATTAAAAAGCTAATTATCAAAGAATATTTACAGTACATTTATACGTAACACTATCCATACTTCTATACTATTATAATAAAGCGCAAACACACACTTCTTTGTTGCCTAAGATGTCAGCAATCACAGCATATTTTCGAATAACTCTTTTTTTAATAAAAAGTCCTACACTTACGTCACGCTTTAGGCTATACATTTTCACGCCGTTAAACTTAGGGGTTAATATTTTGGATAAAAATATTAATGTGGGAAAGAGACCATAAGTTGTTGCCAACATCAAGGAAGCAAGGTTGCCATGGTTTGTCACGTCATTTTGACATTTGCAATTAATAATTTGACAAATGTAAACAATAAAATGAAATTTTTATAATTTAATGCAGATAAGTCGCATGGGAACAGCTAGTTTCTTGATAAAATAGTCAACATACTTACACTACTATTTATAATATCTATCATTAACACTTGGCTTTGTCTGTGTAACAACTTATATCAAAGTTGTATGTTCGAGGAGGTCGGCGGCGGCAGAGGGCGCAGTGACGGCGTGTCGCTGCAGGTGCGGCCGCGGCGGGGGTCAGTGCTGAGTATTCACGGAGAGTGTCGCGGAATTATAAATTGAACACTTTATGCAGCTCTTTTAACTTATTCACAGCTCCAGAAACTGGAACACATCTAAATGTTTTACATCCCTGTGCCACTGGTGTTCTTACTAGGACAGCATACAAGCTGAAGTAAACTCTATCTCTTTGTAGAAAAGTTGAGATTAGCTTATTAAGATTATTAAATATTGTAATGAGATTTGGGTATCACACAAAAACATTTCCTTTTCCTTAGTATATATAAGCCTAATTATTTATAAACATTAGTTAATATGCGGCGTATAGGAATGCTGAGAGCGACCGCGGGAATACTGCACATGTCACGAGAACGTGACGCAGCAACTGTCCATCATGACATCAGTCGCTGGAGTCGAGAGTAGTTACCTAGTCCGTCGCCGTCGTGTGACATCGCAAAGAGACGTAGATATTATTATTACCTTTATTAAAATAATGAAACGACAAGTTTATTTTACGACATTTACCGAAGGTACCCGCAATTAGCTGTGTTATGGTGAGCCAATGAGAAAGCGGGAGCGGCGCGGCTGCTTATCAGAGACTGTGCTATACCTCGCCCGGTCTACTATACGACTATAATGTTTCCTTTCTCACAATAATGTCGTATCGTATACCTCCGTTACTTATCAATATCATTGTATCCATGTATGTGTTATGTACCCGCAATCAAGAATTATAACTCGCACCTGTAGCCGC